ATGAAGGAATTCCATGTACAGAATTTGAGGTTTATAGGGAGAGCCAGGGAGTAAAGATCAAGGAGGTTGTAACTTTCAGGAAATCCAAAGTGAAGGACTCGCCGGGAGGCCATGTTGCCGCTGATGAGCTGGGCCGCCTGCCGCACTGAAGGGGGTGGTTCCCAGGAGGATGCTCGGAAGCAGACACCTAGCCCAAGTCTGCTGTCTGCCAATGACCACACACCTGCTTGTAGCTGCTGAGAGAGCAAAGAGGTTTCTTCCTTCCACCTTCCAATGATTGTGCCTCTCAACAACAGATCATACCAAGAACCTTTAACTGGCAAGGGAGCCGGGAAATGTGATAACCAGGATCTCAGACCTGTGGCACAGTAGGAGCTCAGGACAAAGATGGTTGGTACTTACTGAGTCTCAATGAGAAAGGTCTGGTGCAAGTGTTTTTTATCCTTCCGATAGGAAATTCAAGTGGCCATTCCTCCATAACCCATTTTCTCTTAAAAGCTCCTTGAGGACAGATCTTAATCAATTCTTTCTTCCCAGTACCAGACCATGCCAGACAATAAGTAGTTCTGATTGGATTTGAATGGGATGACAACAGAATCAACAGCAAATAATAAACTTGTCCCCATGTGTTTAAGTTGGATTTCAAAGACTGCTGTCCATAGAATCTGATAATTCTCCCTGAGGACTGTCGTATATCCTGCCTCAGCTCAAGCCATCTTCCTTTCTAGCCTGCTCAAAAAGTGACCTGAAGCTGGAACTCTGGGTCCTGTCTGCACAGCCAAAAGGAGGAGGATCCGACAGTAGTCTAGTTTATTGGATTCATGGAGACTTTCAATCATATATTTTTTGTATTAAACAGCGTTATCAAGTTGGCCCTGCAGTGTTAGTCAAAGTGTTTCTATATTTTGTACACTTGTTTTGAACACTACCTTTGAGCTCTGGCGGAGCTGGGATCTCTTTAGTAATGTAGGATCTATGAGTTCACCTTGGGGCAGGTTGTGGAGTATTCTCAGTGACGAGGAGGTGGAGTGGGTTTGGATACTAGGAAGACCTGTTCAGCCGTAAGCAAAGGGAGGGCCAGGCCCTGGTGTGATTTCATCTGAAAAGGCACAAAGGTAAAACTCTGTGGAAGATTAAAGACATCCCCTTGATAAATATTTTCCTCACCAAAAAAAGGGTAAGACTACTGTGCCTATGGTAAAAATAATGGTGGCATGAATCAGACTTATTTAGAACCATCAAAGAAATGAAATATATGGATCATGTTGCTAATTAATCTTTTTGTCATTATCAAGTGGTGACTATATCCAGCACAATTAGGGGGGGATGTGGTAATGTAACAGCTGCTAGTGCCCAGCATTTAGCCTCTCTTTCCCATTCCCATCCACCCTGAACTCTGGCTATATTTAGTTGTTTTACATAGTGTACCTGGACCAAAATCTATTTTACAAAATTAAAAGAATACAGAGAAGAGTTAGAGTCTTCATAGAAAAATCAGGCTGCACATTGGTTACCCATGTTCTTTGTTGGTTAATATATTTTCTCCTACTTTGCACCTAGACTCATGGCTGAAACACAATTTGTATAAAGGGAAGTAGGGCATTGAGCAATCATCTAATGAATACAGTCAAGATGGTTAGTGAATCTGGAAAATTCCACTCTCAAAAAAATTACTTTCTCTACTCTGTAGCAGATTTCCTCTTGGCCTTAATTATCCACAGAGTTGTCCAATTTTCTGATAATATTTACCATTGTTGACATCACCTTAATAATTTATTTAATGGGTTTCATTGGGTTTATTTGGGAACTCTTTATTCTAAGTGGCTTATTTTATCAATTAATGTACCTATTCAATAAACATAGAACTCTTTTCCAGTTATCTGTTGCTCTATAATAAACTATCCAGAACCTAGTGACTTAGTGCAACAATTTATTATCACTCTTGGTTCTTGAAGTTGATGGGCTCAGCTGAGCAGTTCTTGCTTGGAGTCCCTCATATGATTGCAGTCAGATGGTAGCTGAGATTAGAGCCATCTAAAGGTTTCCTCACTCATGTATCTGTCATTGGGTTAGTAGGAAATCAATCTCTCTCTCTCTCTCTCTCTCTTTAGCTGGGGTGTATTCAGAACTTGTTGTTCTCTTTGTGATCAGTCTTTTCCAGCACAAGTGTTCTGAAACAATCAGGGAGGAGTTGCAAAGCCCCTTAAGACCTACCCTTAGATTTCATGCGGATTACTTCTATCTTCTGTTTGTCAAAGCAGTTCCTAGGCATCCCAGATTCCAGAAGTCAGAGAAATAGATTTCACCTTACAACAGTGGAATGGCTCGTACATTCAAGGAAGAAAGAGACTGATGGCGGTCATCTAAATGACAAGCTACCACAAGCACCTACTATGTGACAAGCACTATGATAGGTGCTGGGGGGAAGTGTTGAACAAAATGGGCACAGCCTCTACCCTTGGGGAGATTAATTAACTTTAGTTTGACTCGACAGTTTTTACAATCAAATGCTAAACAGCAAGCCCCAATATCAAGTATATTGGGTTATGGAATTGACAAACAGCTATTCTAATAATTTGTTGTCTGGTCATCTTGTGGCTTTCTGGTCCATATCTTGGTGATCATCTTGATAATCTGGTTTATCATGCATTCCTTGAAACATGGTCTGAGCGTAGCAGATACTCATCTGTGGCTTACCATGTTGAGTTCCTGCTGTGCATGGAGGCTGGAACTAGCTTTTAAATGCCTGCTAGGGAATACAAGAGAAGCTGCAAAGTCAGATTTTGCTCCTGCTGGGCTCCCTCTTTTGAGCAGTTCTGGTCCAGTGCAGGTAGAGGAACTTATGACAGTTGCAAAGCAAGAAGGGCACCCAGACAATACAGGATAAAGTGGCCAGGTAGAATCTTCCGGATCCCTCCCTGAGAATTCTCTACTGGAGAGAAGTGTTTGATCATTTGCCCCAGTTTTCTTCTCCCTTGTGCCATTAAAGGAAGGTGAGCTGAGTTAAGTGAAAGGAGATTTCAGAACAGGAATGTTGACAGAAGAGTTGGTGCTGCTCAGCAGATCTCTCAGGTCTTATCATTTTTGGCATAGTTCATGTCCATTCAGTGATAACAGCTAGGAGGACTGGGGGGAGGGGGCTCATGATGACACAAGAAATACCTTGACATGTTAGAAACAAAGGTCATAGCCTGCAAAGGTCCAAGGGCAGGCAGTATTCCTGTGTACACTTGTCAAGTTCCCTGCCATGAAACTAGTGTGCCTTCTTATGGCATGCCTCTATACCTATGTTATCGCACAAAGAAAGAAGGGACGTTATAGGGGATGTCTCAAGCAAAACTAAATTTTGGCTCAGTTGGCATATAACAAGGCACCTCTATCAATCCATTAACTTCAGCTTCATAGCTCATACTGCATCAATATGGATACTTTCCTCACACTAGTGATTCTTGGGTCCCCTGCTTATGATTTGCTAAATTAAACTTCTTTTCAGTTGTCATGACATCTAGCTACCTGAAATGCCTTTCCCAATTTCTCTGAATATTCATAATAGATTTTAATTATATCCTATTCTTCATTTGACCAGCACATGCTTATTTGATGTGTTTTGTGTGCCTGCTGATAGATTATCACTTTACAACTTTCTTTGGGCACCTGATTTGTCCAACTGGATGGTAAACTGAATGATGACAGGAGCTTCTCTATAGACACAAATATACATGTATATGTATATAGTACACATATGTGTGAAGTATATGTATGCCTACATATATAGGAGACAGCTTTCAACAGCTGATGGCCATGGTTCATGCTCCATTTTCCTTTGTTTTTATAGCTTAAAATCAAGTAGACTACTTTACAGTTACCTGATAATCAATAGAAGCCTTACTCCTCAACTTGAGGCTACCTACTAAACCTTTGAATTTCCATGTATGCTTGTGGGAGTTTATCAAGGTTTTTTTTTTTACTGGTTGTGAGGGAGCCACAAACATAGTTTGGAGAACTTGTTTTTCCTCTATAGTATCTATCCCCTGCTCTGAGCCCTAAATGAACGTATAATTCAAGGAGAAACTTGGGATTGGCCTCAGGAAAAGTCTCCAAGCCAACATGCCATCATCCCCACTCTTCCCTCTTCTAATCAATTTGCTGTCCCTAAAACCTTTTTATGGACAAAGTTTGCTGCTGCCTCTGCCTCTTCACTAAATAAGGGGCACACCCTCCCTTTTCTGATTTCAGGGCCACCAGGAAACATTTCCATCCTCCAAATATCATCAATGGTGTTGCCATTCCTGATATTACATTAACATGAAATAAAGCTTTCTTCTCATAATTAGGTATATACTTAAAATGCAAATCCTGCTGGAAGCATTAATATAATGATGAGTCCTTATGCACAAAAGATGATAATGGCTGATAGCAGATCTTTTCTTGAAAATAGGTTTCAATTAACACAAGGTGGTGGTTGAGTTTGAGAGAAGACAGGTCACTGCATCCTTAGAGCAGTGGGTTCAGAAGTAGGATATCCACACCCCATGGAGAATCCAAAACAACCCAGTGCAGAAAGAACATATTAAACCTTCTTTTTAGTTCATCTTAAATAAAGATTGGGGTATAATTTTGATGCACACAGTACAGTAAATACATATGTAATTTATAAGTAAAAATACACAGATTAGATACACCTTGAGTTTCTGTTGTTGAGAGAAGTGCATGACCTAAAAGTTTACTGCTTATGAAGGATGAATGTGGATAAGGGCTTCATGATGTTATGCGGAGGAACAGGAAACAGTTACAAAACAAGTGTTTGCCACCTCAGAATTCTGACTCCAGTCACTACTGATTTCAGTTATGTGATCAATAGGGAGTTTACTAACTCTCAACCTGACTCCAGGACAGTCTCTTTTAAGATGTGGAGAAATTGCTCAATTTTAGGATGTTGACCGAAGAAAGTAGATTTTAATCATGTTTTTGTGTTTTCCTTTTCATTTTGTTTTCTCAAGGGTCCCATGGGAACAGAAAGTTTTGAGGGAGTTTACTGTTTGTGCAAGATGACTGGTTGGGTAAAGAAGTCCAAAGTTTATTATCTGCAGAACAAATAAAGCCTGGGCAAAGGTAACCGAAACGAATGTCTCCCACCCACCTTGTCCCTTCAGCATGTCTAAGGGGATGTTTGCCCCAGTGATTGCATAATCGAGAACCTTATCTATGAATGTCAAAAGGAGAGGTGGTACATTGTAGACTCCTACTGGTTAAAAATAATCACTGACTCTTGTTTTTCTTAGTTTGCTAAGCAATTGATGGTGGTGCCTATACAAAAATCATTTAAAAAATCTACTTGTTCATGAGATATTTCTAAATATCCAGGTATTGTTTACCAGGCAGCATCTGAGTGGCTGAATTCAATTTTTTTCTCCTTCCCCAAAGGTAGACAAAACACAGCTCTAGGCAAGTACAAAAATAAGTTTCCTCACGGGTGGCTAGTCTGGACCTTTGTTGGTGATTAATGCCATCAAGGACAATTGGATTGTTCTTGGTGATTGCTCCACAGTAATTACTGACAAGTATACAGAATGGACAGACATATAGTGTGGGGCTCAGCTAGTCTTTTAGAAGATAATGTCATCTGCATAAATATTGATAGGAAAGTGGGATGTGGTTCAGTGGCTGAGGTTAAGAACTTACTATTGGGAAAAAAATTGGTAACGCTTTGGGTTTCAGATCCTTACTGACTAGATAATTATTTAGCGTTCTTTTTACTTTGACTCCTTGCTCTTGCTTTTAAAACCTGAAGTTTATAAAATCTATGAAATATTTCCCAAGGAAATACTTAGGAAAGGGTTTAGACACTAAGAACAAATTAATCAGTGAGATCCTCTGCCTAATTTTTGGATAGTTGAAAAAAATCCTGATAAGATTGGTAAAGTCTTGTGGGAAATTCACAGAGAACTGTCTCTATCCATGTGAGTATGTATAGATATATAAATAATAACTAAAACTGGTTAGTGTCCAGATAATCTCAAAAGCCTCGGACTGACCTGTGGGCAAAGTCACAAACAATTCCCAGCTTAGAGGGCACAGTCCTTTTAGCATAATTAGGCTTGACCTTAGGAGGCTCCCTAGATCATATCTGGGAAGCTAATGGGCTGAGGAAGTGCAGGAAGTATAACTATGGTGTAAACAAGTGAAACTCACAAGAACAAAAACAAGTGAAACTCACAAGAACAGTGTAACTTTGGTAACCACTACCTTGTTTACCGCTCACTATAAAATAAAGGCTCAGCTTGCCTTGGGATCTCTCTCTGTGGCCTCAGCCAGGCACAGGGAAGATCCACGGAGACTAAGGAAAGCTAGAGAGTTCTGAATGCTGTCTCCGTGTAAAACATTCTTCGCCGACTCCGTCCACACCTTTGGGGACCCCTGGATCCGCTGGGGCTGGCCCCCAGCACGTAACATTTACTGGCATAATTGTTTAAAAAATTGTTTTTCCAATATGGAAAAAGACAAATTCCAATTTCTAAGCCTAAGCCCTGCTCTAACCTATACGGTGGGGTCTTGACTTACGAGTTTAATTTATTCCGAGACCGAGCTCATTAAGGAGCTCATGAACTCAAATTACTCTATCAACTCAATGCAAAAAAATCAGCCGAGAGACAGCTGGTATCTCAAAAAACTCGTTAGTCGGGACACTCGTAAGTCAAGGCCCCACTGTAGTTTGGAATTTCACTTACGACCAGTTATTCAAGAGGAAAAACTAATTATAGTATAAACCTAGCTTAGATATTTGGAAATACTTCTACTTTAGACTATGAGACATAGAACTGAGTCCTAAACGAAGTTGGTAGGTTCTGGACTCTTTAAAAGTCCAGAATACATGATTACCTTTTGGGTTCTGTACATTTTTAGTTTTTCCTGAAAATAATGACCTTGGGAGGGGCCAGCAAGTTTTAGGATATTATCAGCCCCCATCCAGGGCTTACAGCATTGAGTATTAAAAGGAGCTGCTTTCTTGCCTGGCCAGTATGGCTCCGTGGCTGAGCATGAACCTATGAACCAGGAGGACAGCGTTTGATTCTGGTCAGGTCACATGCCCCGGTTGTGGGCTCCCCAGTAAGGGGTGTGCAGGAAGCAGCCGATCAATGATTCTCTCTCCCCATTGATGTTTCTGTCTCTCCTTTCTTCTTGAAATCAAATATATATATATGGAGCTACTCTCTGAGGAAGGTTGATGGTGACTATGGGAATATGTGAATTTGGACCTATAAAGTGAAGTTCCTGAGTAAAGATAATGGAACAGTTTGTGAGTCAAAAATGAGCTTTGAGACTTGCAAAGCCTATTAGATCAGGCAATTATTAATAATAAAAACAATAGTTACATACCCCGGGACATCAGGCATTTGGTAAAGAAGATGACAGAATGGGAGAGGGAAAAGGGAGACAGAAGGACGGAGCCGAAGAGCCAGAGCGCGAGCGCACACGCGGAGCAGGGCTGGCGGGCTGGCGAGCGGAGGGCCTGCTTTTCCAGTCTGGCACGGGGCTTGATGAGCCTGTTTATTCAGCCACCGTATCAGACATTCCCTTTTCCTGCCCGAAGAAGTCCCCTTTGAAGAACGGCTCTGCTGGGGAGTAGTTTCCCCTCGGACAGGCTACTCCTGTTTGCAGACCTAAAGGAAAAGAGCTGGAAAGGCCACAAGAATGTCCTTTAAAGCGATATTCCAGCGCCACGTGAGGGGAGGATGAAATAGCAGCAAAAGATTTATTCCCCGGTTGAGGTATTTTTTTCCTCTCTCCAGTGAATGTAGCACCGAACAAAGGTGTCACATGAATGCGGCAGGGGTCAGGAGTTCTCGGGTCCCCCCCAGGTCTGCGCGGTCAGGCCCAGGCCAGGCGTGGAGAGCATGCGCAGTGTAGGAGCGCTCCGAGCACCTGCAGGCCTGGAGAGAACCAAGCACACCTGTGCACACTTGAGACTCCAATTGGAGGACCTAGCCCTGCAAGTCTCTCTTCTGCGGGGGAATCAAAGGTCGTGATCAGCAGAGGACCTGGCTGTACCTTCAGAGCAAAGCAGCAGAGAGAGCCCTGGTGAACCGGGGGAGGGGGGGGGGGCAGCATTCATAACCACATTGCATAAGCAGAGGTTGACATTTTCACTTTGGGGCTTTCATATTCATTTCTTGTATTTCATGATGACACTTTTTTTTCTTGTTTGTTTTTTTGTGTTTTTGTTAATCCTCATCCGAGGATATTTTTCCATTGATTTTTAGAGAGAGTGGAAGGGAGGGGGAGAGACACACAGAGAGAAACATCACCTCCATCGGTTTTCTCCCTCACGCACCTGACCAGGGCCGGGGATGGAGCCTGCACCAGAATCAAACCTGGGACCCTTCAGTCCTCGGGCCAACGCTCTATCCACTGAGCAAAACCAGCTAGGGCGACACTTTTTACTTTTCAAAGAAGTTTTTCATCCAGTCCTCACGTTAACCCTGTGAAGTAGCGAGAGGAGATGATGGCCTCCTGAACTGTTCTCTTTGGGAAAGGATGTGGCCAAAGAAAGAGGTGGGTACCCAGCTTGTCACCAGCGGGGCAGAGCGACAACCCAGGTCTCCTGACTCGCGGACCACAGGTCTATTTTCTCTGTGTTCTTGCGGCCTGTGAAGCCACGATGGAGTTGCAGCAAAAAGGAAGGTGACATTCTCCATCTCCTCCCAGGCACATAGGACGTTGCTGTGACTTTGAAGACACTGCTTTGCTGTGTCCACATTCTCTCTCCGGGACTGGCCTTGGGGAGGAGATTCAAAGAGAAACCTTCAGAGGGGAGGTCTCGGATTCCAGTCACTGTGGCTGCCCATGCCTCTGGTGGATTTGTCTGCTCTGTCGCTGGACCACATGAAACAGGAGCTCTCCAGAATGAAAAGGGGTCTTTGTACCACAGCGGAGGTGAACCCTTTGAGGAAGAGATGCGACCTCAGGGAGAGGGGATGGGACCCCACACGCTCTCCTCGATTCCTGGCTGAGACTCCAGGACCCACGTGGACCCTCGAGGCCTAGGAGTGAGGTTTGTGCAGAAGGGAACACAGAGCACTAACGATGTGTCCTTGAGGCGTCCGAGCGAACCAGAGTTTCCTCCAGGGGATACAGATTATGCTTATCGGGGCTCCGGGTAGCAACTGGAAGACGAGGCCTTACTCACAGACTGGCTTGATGGCTTTGACACACACAGCCTTGTCTTTTATCTATTTCTGGATGTTTGTCCTCTTTCTCCAGGTAGAACTGAAGCAGATCGACATGGAGCCATATCTTGTAATTATTTGTATCCTCTAAGGCTTCCTCGTGCTTAAAATATCTGATGAACCAATGGGAATCCGTTTTCAGCTGCTCCCTTATCCCCCGTGTTTCTCAGCCCATGCTTTCAATCCGAATCACCTGGGAAACGGGCACGTGTACTTTGAAATAAGTCCCGAGATGACGCTGGTGCGCACGGGAGTTTGAGAATGATTGCATTATCCCTTTCCTCATGGTTTTGGGCGCTCCGGTGACTTTGAGCAAACACAGCCTCAGACTTTGCAGTGTTTTCTGATTTACGAGGCTGATTCCTCATGTTTTTCCATTTTATGTCTAATGTTATGGGGCTAATTTAATAATAGCCCTAGGATGTGGGATCTTTTCCTACCCACTTTACAGATGAGAAGACAGAGGAGTGGTATTCTGAGGGTCGCATAGCCAGTTTGTGGCCGAGCCTGTACTCATCCCAAGCCTTGTGACTCCAGATGCTGGGCTCTTCCCCCCACCCCCCAAACCCCCTGAAACTTTACACCTATGCTATTCTCTGTGTGGACGGTGTTATTCCTGATGACGCTTGCTGTCCACACAGCTGAGGCCAGTTGCTGTGATGCGTATGTGAAGCCAGGAGAAGCTAACAGCCTGTATTCTTAATAAATTCTACCAGGATAACTGGCTAAGACTAACATTGAGGTGTCCTTTCATGCAAATGTTAGCGAACGGCATGTTCATTATCACTTTGGAAAAGCAGGACTGGGGCCTGGTGAGAGGTGACAGTCCTTTCAGAAAAAGACAGTGGGTTTGTTTGGTCACCTGTGATTGAAACTGTGCTCTCCCGACTTTGTTTCGCTGGAAATGAAGAGGGCGTGGGAAGCAAGTGGAGCCCCCAGGACTTGCTCTGTGACCTGGAGTCCCAAGGATGGCCAGGCCAGCTCTGTAGAGGTTGGCTCCTTCAGTGTGGACAGGTGGAATGCTGTGAAGGTAAGTGTTTCTCGTCTCACTTCATTTAAAAGGTTCCGAGTGCTCCAAAGTTCATTTGATGCTCACGGGAACAGGTAGCCACGCTTTCAATGGCCATCAGTGGTTGCTAGAACTTCCTACATGGCTGTTTAACCTCTGACTAGTTTCAATGTACAGACAGCCATCAGAAATGGAGACTTGTCGACTGAAAGAAAAGGTTGGTCTGAAACTTCTGCTAGTACCCGGTTCTCTTACTCTTCTTTTATCGTGGCCTAACAGATGATGGACATGCCTGTACCCTGATTAGAAAAGGTTTCATTTTACTTGTGCACCACACATGGAATTAGTTAAGGGTTGCATTGGAAAAGAAGTGATGGACTATTGTTCACATTAAATTATAATGACAGCCTTCCTAACCACTGTGTATTTATTATGTAAGAAAAGAAAATGTCTAGTAAAATTCTGTAAAGGTTAATAACACCTTCATAATATACTCCTTCTTTTCTATTGATTTGAATAGCCCTCCTACTGACTTTTAATGGATTATTAGAGTTAATTACATCAATTGCAATATAATTTATTCCTAAATACTATGTAGAAACCTCGTACAATTATGGAAAAACAAAAGTTATCTAGACATCTCAGATCAAAAAAGATTTGGAATTCCTGCACATTTAATTTCTGATAATCACTAGTCAGTTTGGACATTAAGATTGCATGGTGTCCTGTTTTCTCTTTGCTAGGTTTTGACAGAATTGATAGTTTTACAACATTTAACTCAATACACATGGAAATATAAGATTAAAGCTGTGAATGCAATTTTTTTTTTCCTAAAAAAAAGATCACTTCACAGCTTAAAAGCTGAAATGTGTTACCTGCCTAACATTGACAGAAACAAACTCAAGGGAAAATCAAAAGTGGATTTGATGTTGAGTTTTAGAAATCTCTTCTCCACAGGTGTAAAGATTCCTGTGGGTCTTGGGGTTTGTTACTTTACAATGTGACAAGGGGATGAATTGCCTGAAGGGGCAAAAAAAAAAAAATTCTCCCATTTTATTATCTAGACACAGGCTATATGTTCTAATGTCAAAACCACTGGTTGAAAAGTGAAACATCATTAATATCTGTTACTTGATGTCATAGGGATCAAAAGAAATCCTTGTAATAGAGCTGTTTGAATGCAACCTTTTTATTTTTAACTGATTTGGGGAAGCTAGTTTGTAGTATTGACACAGTTATAAATGTGGTTTTCTAAAGGACTCTTCTTCACAGATACAGATTTCTAGATCACTCTAAAATGGTCTGCAAATAAATGTGTCAAGGAGAGAGATGCAGTGGACAGGTCATTGGAATAGGGATCAGCAGACCTGATGTTTTTTGTTCCTGCTTAGCTCTATGACTTAACCTGACCAGGCCTGAACGTTCTCTTCTGTAAAATAAGAGACAGAGGCCCTCTTAGCTCTCCTCTCCTGAATCTCCTGCCTTCGAACTCTTGATGCTCTTAATGGCAACATAACTCATCTGATTCTCAATAAGTGGCCTTATTTTCACTTTTCAGCCAGCGGTTTCACTTTTCAACCAGTGGCTTTGACGTTAGAACACATAGCCTGTGTCTAGGTAATAAAGTGGGAGGATTTTTCCCCCCTTTTTAAATTGCATATATCAATATATCTTTTATGTCTAGGTATCTTATCTGGTTAACTAGGTTATACGTTTCCAAAGACAGGGTCTCTGCCACGTACCTCTCTGTATGCTCATGACATACACTATAGTTTTCTAGATAGAATTGGTTAGTTTGGTCGAATGAGCATCCAACCCAAAAGAAGTGTTTCCATTTATCCCGTGAAAGTCTTGATATAACAAGAATAATGGCATAGCATCCCACTTGTTATACTGGTTTCACTTCTGAAAGCATTGTAAAATAGTTTATGTTATGAAATGTTAGTTGCTTCCAATCGGATGGCATTTAACATGTAAAATTTCACTCAGTTTGTCTATAAATCAAAATGTAATCCCATTTCCAATGGGATTTTTAATAGAACTTGAGCAGCCTATTCTAACACTCACCTGGAAGGGCAACACATGACAATAGCCATGAAAAGCAAACAAACAAAAAATTAAAATGAGTGGGGACATACCCAAGTAGTTATCAACACAAACTATTCATCTTAAGCAATACATAATTATAAGTGGTGAAATTCATGCACAAATGTGCTGATAGAGAAATTAGCTAACCAAAAAGATTAGCATCCAGAAACAGATCTAAGAATATAGAGGAACTTAACAGATAATATGGAGACATTTCAAATCAGTGGCTAAAAAATAGACTGTTCAGTAAATGGTACTGGGACAACTGGCTCTCCATCTGGACTCATACTATACACAAGAGTAAATTCCAGATGGGATAAAGCTCTAAACATGGAAATCAAATCTATACAAGTGTTGGAAGGAACTATGAATGAACCATTTAAAAAAATAGTATTGGGTAAGAAGGTCTTTGTAACCAAGATGGAAAATTCAGAGACCATTAAGAAAAATCTGACGTAATAGACTTTATTTAAAAAAATCATAAAGAAAGTTAAAAGGGCAATGACAGATTGGGATAAAATATTTAAATTATGCATTACAGAAAAAAAGTGTTACTATCCATTATTCAGAGTGCCCACAAGTTAATGAGAAACAAATAAATAACTCATAAAATGGGCAAATGATACAAAATAAGCAATCCCCAGGAGAAATTGCAATAGCTAGCAAACATTTAAAAAATATGTTCACCCTCATTAGTGGTAAAAGATATATAAAATGAAAGAACATGAGTTTCCGTTTTCTACCTATCAGATGGGCAAAAAATTAAGGGAGTTGATTGGCTTTATCAGTTAAAATGAATGAGTATACTATATAGACAGTAGAGAGCAGATGTCAGTATTATGTGGTTAGGTGAAAGAAGCAAGTTGTAGAACATTGTACAGTATGTCCTTTTTATAGTACTTTTTAAAATTGTATGTATATAAGAAATAATTATTAATATGTATGCATTATCTTGAATAGTATTTATCTCTTGAGATGGCACTAAGATGAGTATAAGTATACATCTCTAAGTTTTGAATTACTTTTCAGCTGGAAAACATTCCTCTCATTATTCTTTATTAAACCCTCATCAAGCTGAATAACTGATCTTTAGGAGGCAAAGTCAGTGTGTAATTGAACTGAGTATTAAATGAATAGGTGTAGTGTTTTATGGAATCTCGGTCAACTCTGGTTAAATTCTTCAAGTCAATCTTGTTGAACTGGGTCAATAATATAGGGTTCTGGCCCTAACCCATGTCTACGGTTGGATCTTGTCAAGACCCTCTTAATTTTCAGGCTCCTGGCTTTTGTGCAAGGGCTGAGGTTGGTCTGCCTCCTATGCCAGCTGTAATGATTCCATATGATATCCAAGGGCATCCCCACCTGTTTAGAACACCCGGAGTATAGCTAAATCACAGCATCTTGGAACCCAGGTCATCAGCGGGGTTAAACAAGTCAATGTAAATGAAGTCTTGTGATTAGTTTGAACTTGCTTCCAAGTTATTTGTTAGCAAAGAGTTAACAAGTTCAGACCTTTGGTCATATGGGTCTTTAAGGAAAGCTTTTTTCCCCATTCCAATGACTTCCTGTTCATGAGAAAATGAGAGGAAATGAACGTCTAACAGGAGGGTGGACCCACCCTTTTCCAGTCGTGTGGCTAATTTGTCAGGTGTAATATTGGCACCTGGTGGCTTGTGTTGGCTTCCTGCCCACCCTTGCTGGGGAAGTATCCAAATACTTGCAATAGGCGGTAGAAGACTTCAAAGCTATTTGTAAGGGAAAGGATATTGTCATTAAAGAACTTAATGGTGAATACTCCCAATCATTTAGTGATGTCAAGATAAAAGGAAAATTTTAAAAACACATTATCTAGAGTTTTTCTGATGTCTCACATGGACCTGATACAAAACAAAGCATTGTAGTTGATTTAGTAATAATACATTTTCAAGAAAGTGTATTTATTGATTGAATGTTAATTTTTTCTGTTTTTGAGAAATTTTCTCAAAAGGTATCAGTTATTTGTAGGAAGATTATGACATTATTTATTTAAGGTTAGAATTCTTATTGCTCAGGTTCACCTTTAAATATGTACTCTCTTTATTCCTTCTAATGGAGCCATTTCCTTTTAATCAAAAGAGAAAACTGCAAAAATATCAAGTGGATCTGAGAAAGGGCAATATGGGTTTTCAGAATTTATTAGGTATATTGGATGGGCACAGCTGGTTCGGTTCCATACCTCTCAATTTTCAGATAGAAATAATTACTGCCTTTTGAACATGGTATAAATAATTGTCCAGCAATTCAAGGTAAATTTGTCCACAAATGGGGTTTAAATAGACTATAAGCAGTGGTCATTAAACCATAATAAATTCTACACATCAATGAAACTTCTTTTAGTTTTTGTAATTAATATAAGTTAGACTAGCTTTAGTGCACCTAAAACTCTCCTGGCAGTCAGCATTCATGGGTATGGAAAACAGGATTGATTAGTCTTCCTAACGTATGCATTCATGGTGTCATCACTTTTAAACCTCAATCAGTTAATGGTCATCAAGTCACCAACAAGTATTTATTGTTTTTATTGGCCTAACATACTATCAAAAGTTTCATAAATTATTAATCCAGTAGATATTTGCTGAAGGTCTTCTGTGTGGAAGGGTATATACAATTGAGTTGGCTCTGGTAGAAACTGAAGCACAGAGGTCCCTCAACCCTAAGAGCTCATGGCAAATGGTTCAGCTTTCCAGAGATCTTACACACAATCTACCTTCTGACAAACTTGAGATAAACAATGATAAGTAATACATTGTATAATATACACTGTAAATGGGGTGGGAGTGCAGAAAAGGGGGGATCAATGTCTCTGAGGGAGACTATAGCTCACCGAATATTAACAATAAATAGCATTTAGGCAACCAAGAAAGGAAAACTGTGAACATTCTGAGTGA